GGGCGGTAATTCCTGCTTGCAGAAAGGAGGCATTTGGGTTTGCTCTATTCTTTCATGTGGCTTGGCAGGCCCATCTGCTAAAATGAAAACTTTAATACGAGCCATTTTCTGCAAAGGTCCCTAATGCTTCAGAATAAAGTCTAAACCTGTTTTCCGGGCATGCAAAGGCTTACGAGGCCTGCGCTTTGCCTCTCTGGTAACTATCACTTCTGGATCCCTGCCCCCCATTTCCACATGAAGTAAGTTTCCAAATCTACCAGGCTTTCTCCTACCTAAAGGTTTTTGCCCAAACTGTGCTCTCTGCCTAGAATCCCCCTTACTCATTTTCTGAGCAGGCTAATTTGTACTCATATTTGAAACGCAGATCAGGCTTCACCTCCTCTATGAACCGTTTCCAGGCATATGCCTGACATGGGAGACGGTGACATGAATCACACGATTTTTTTAAAAAAATAATCTGATTACTTGCCTGGTCCCCTAACAAACTGTGAGCATAGATTGTATTTTTTAAATCACTGTACCCCAGAGACTAATACACTATTCTTTCATTAAAAAATACTTAATAAATGCTAACCTATGAAAGAAAAGCATGAATCTATGTATAGAACTTAGAAGAATAGATATTAGACATCTAGTTGCATTGATTTCATTTATTTGTATTCTCATAAAAATAGACTTATGTGGGTCTCTAATTTTTATTAAAAGTTTTCAAAAATTTTTATGTCATATCATCATCATTCCAAAAAAGAAAAGATATTTGCACCAAAAATATAGGAGGCACATTAATTCAGACTAAAGAATAATCTTGTAAGTCACCAAACATGGGGACAAATTCAGCAAAGCACGACACACTGGACCCAGGATCATGACCTTGTATCAGAGCAGTATTTGGCAGCCATTGACTTACATTCTCTTCCTCACGTGTAACTTCTCACTGAGGCCTTTGTAAGGCAAAAAGCAGACAATTAATTTGAGAGAGTACTTTGTGAGGTTGTCTACAGAGTGACTGAGGCTAGATCCACATGCTTTGGTAACCAGAGGAAATAGTGGAAGGTTTGACAATCTCTTATGAAAAGTGAATATATTCTTTAATCCTCACACCCCATCATTCCCTTCATAGCCACCATTTACACCACATCACTCACCCTGGGTTGGCAGCTACGCCATGTCTACAATGAAACATGAACCTGCTCCTGTTTCCACCAGCTTTATCCGAGGCTAAAAGCATCCATGAGTCCTTAGCCTCTGGCTCCCTGTCAGGGGTAAAAGCAGCACCAAGACCACACTCAGAGACAGCACAGTTGCCCTTGGTTACGAGTCTGGCAAGTGAGAGAGAATCTTTCCAGGAGGCTCAGCTTCCTTTGCAGGAGCTTACTCACTTTGAAATAAATCTTTATGATTGTTTTCTGTTAGATTTAGGAGAAGTTCGAAAGCTGTCAGTGAGTTCTACAGATGTGAAAAAAAAAATACACATCAAGAAGGATGAGGACTGGGAAGCTGCAGAGTGGGTTCTTGATGATCGACATTTAACGGCACTTTGGGCTGTGGAAGGGCAGTAGGTTTACGCTGAGGGTCTACTGTGAGAGCTTTTCTTACGCACCTGCTGTTTTTTGATTACATACAGCAAATACAATAAAATCTTCAGCTAGTAGATTGTGGCTGTCACGAGGAGTAGGAAATAATTTCATGGAAATTTTTTTTTCTTTAATAAGAGACTGGCACTTATACCAAGTATAAAGCAAAAACACATTTGTCGGGTGCTTAATTAAAACTTCTGAAGTATAAGAGTATATTTTTAAATAAAATTTTAGGGAAAAAAAAACCGATGCAATGTTTTTGGTATTCCTGTCCCTAACTGTTGACCTTTTCAATATTTCATTTTTAAAAGGCATTTGTAGCCCATGTTATTTTCAAAAAATATATAGGGCAAAAAGTTCATTAAGTGAATTAAGAATTATGACATACACCATTAAAAAGAAAGGAAGGCACAAAAGATGAATTAAACATTGGATTTATTTCTAAATGTAAAGCAATAGGTAAAAAAGTTATTTTTGCTACCATAACATTGTATAACTAAAGAAAATGTGCAAAATCATTCCCAGGGACAATTTTTTTCTTCTGGAATTATATTCAAGGAGGATCTTGTTTCATCAGAGCTTGTATTGAGATATTGGAGTAATAAGAGTTGGCACCGGGTACAATTTATAGAAATGCTATTTTGAAAGACTTATCATATGAAGACTTTGTAAAGGTTATGGCTTAACATTAAATTAAAACTCATGGAAAGCATTTCAAGTTGGGAAGGGATCTGAGACAACAGGGTCCAAATAAATGCCACGGGACTGACTCAAATATCTGATGGCACATGCCACCCTCTAGCAGGTGTTGGGGTCAGTCGGCTAATGACTGAATTCTCTAACAAGTACTTGAAGGACAAAAATTCTGTTCTTAATTTAGAGTCACATACTCAGGCCCCAGATTCAAAGATTCAGAATCTCTTGGGGGAATCAGAGGCCAGGGACCTGGCTATATTTTAATAAAGCTCTACTAGCAGTTCTGAAGCTGGACACGACTGGGATGCACTGTTTTAGGTCAGAGTTTGCTGTAGAGAGTTATTCAGTTCAATTTAGTTTAGTTGTTTCTGAAAGTGCCTCTATGGGTGGAGCCTGCACTATTGATAGGAGAAGGGGTGAGCCCAGAAGAAAGCACCACGATGGAAAACTCTACCAATGCCTGGTTTTCACGTCGCTTCCTCCAACATCTTTGCTCACTGTTTTAACTATTACCATGGAACGCATTACTTGAACAAAGTGTTGAAAAGACTCCATATTTGGAGACTGTTTTCAGGAGAGAGACCCCCTGTTCGTGTCTTTCCAAGATTCTTCCTTAATACTTAGAGAACCACGTTGTAACTCTGAAGTAAAACTTTAAGCTCTAAAATTACATTTTCATACAGAAAGCCAACCAACAGATAGACAAGAAAGCAAGCAACTATTTTACTCAAAGCATTTCTGTGTGTGCTTGACCGAACTCAGAATCCATTACTGTAAAATACAAGTTCCGATTTAATTATAAAATGTATAAGCTGGACTCTACAGCTCACTGCTTATCCCTTAGCCCCCTTTCTTTTCCTTTTCTGTGTCTATGTCTTTTCCCTTATTTCAAGTTTAATTCTTATTAATCCAGGTACTATACTTAATTCCAGATATTACCTATATAAAAATGTTATCAGGAATATGGATAATGGAGTTGGGAAGGGATATGCTTCACAAAATGTGATTCATTTCATATCTCATATGTTTGTAGGGTTTAAAAACAAAAGGGGGCAGATCTGTCTCGACAGGTTAGAAATGAAAGATCAAAGCTTGGTTTGACGCTGACATTCAACCCTTTCAATTTACCCAGGCGTAAGGAGTGTTTCTTAACCTCAACAAGAGAATAAGTCATACTTTGTAAGGCTTGAGAATAGACAGATCTCTTTCAAATGCACTGTCTTATTTAATCATTTATTATGACCCTGAGGGACAGTAAAATCCCCATTGAACCAAAAGAATAAATTAAGGCACAGAGGAGTGCAGCATTTTGCCCAATGTCACCAAGTTTGTGAGTGACAAGGCCAGGCCTTCGGAATGGGTTTCAAATCCACTCTAGCCATCAGTCATCAACACATGGTGGAAAGAATGTTAAAGGCAAAGAAATAGTTTCCTAGAATAAAGTTACAGCAGTCTTCATGTCCTTCTGCAGCTGATAACTGGGGCATCAATTTCCTTGGAAATTCCAGGCCCTAAATAATCAGCTTCTCTATGGAAGGTACAAAAGACAGTGCTGTAATTTATGACTGCGGATCCTGATCTACAATTAGATTTCACAGGACCTGGAACATCTGATATAAAGAACCATTAACGTAACCTCTTTGTCAATACAGAAAATTGCTAGTATTTTCGTATCTTTACAACACCCATTTCTTATTAAAAAGAAAAATGCAATTGGCCATCTTCCATCTATAATAAGTTTGATAAGATCACTGTATTTAAAAATCCATGGTTAAGGCAACGAGAGATAAAGGTCTGCTTACCCCTCCTTCATGTCATTAATGGGCAGTGGAACCCTGCCGCCCCTGTCCAGGGCTGACGTGATGTTGATGGCATTCAGACGCTCTGGCTGCCACACGTTTTTCACTGCCCCGAGGAAGTCTCCAAGAACTTCGCTGGCCAACATCTCTTCTACATTCATATTTTTAATGAAGAATTCTGCTTGATACGGTAATGGGAAGTCTAATTTTGGTTAAAAAAAAAAAAAAAGATATGCATATCTTTAATGAGACAGTCTTTCCAAAAGGGAACAAAAGAACAATTCTAGATTTGTTGACTATTGCCATAATCCTGGCTTTGGGAAACTATGTTAATACTGACTGTAAAGGCTTTCTGTATAACAGAAGATATATACATCCTCCAAAAAACATAACGTATTTGACACAGAATTTTATGTACAAACATAAAATTCCAAGGATACAGCAGGGCAATTTACAATGATAGGATATGCCCCCTCACCCCTCCCCCCCCGGCCCAAAAAAAAGAAGAAAAAAAAAGTCAAATCAGCCTCCAACTTGCCAGAGACCTGGCTGGCCTCCTCTCATCTCTCCCCGGCAGAAGGCATACTCCCAGAACTCTACATGGATAGGAATAATATTTTGTATTTGTAGAGTTTTAAAACTGACAGATTTTTTTTCAAATACATCATCTCATTTAATCATTACAACCCTGAGTAGTGCTATTCCTATTTGAACAGAGGAGGAAGTTGAGGCACAAAACAATATCCTTTTCAAATAGAGAAGACATTACGAAATATCTGTACTTGCTCATAGATTGCTGACATATGATTTGAAATACCATAGTTTAATCCGGCAGTACAATCATGTGTTCCTTAATGACAGGGATACACTCTGAGAAATGCGTCATCATGCAATTTAGTCATTATGCGAACATCATAGAGCCTACCTATACAAACCTGAATGGGACAGTCTACTACACACCTAAGCTATATGGTGTAGCCTATTGCTCTCAGGCTATAAACCTGTACAGTATGTTACTGTAGTGAATACTATCGGCAATTTTAACAGTATATTTGTATATCTAAACATAGGAAAGTTAGAGTAAAAATACAGTATACAGTATAAAAGATAAAAAATGGTACACCTGTATAGGGCTGTTACCATGAATGGAGCTCCCAAGACTGGAAGTTGCTCTGGGTGAGTTAGTGAGCGAGTGGTGGGTGAATGTGAAGGCCTAGGACACTACTGTACACTACTGCAGACTTCATAACACTGCACACTTAGGCTACACTCAATTTATTTAAAATATCACACCGTTGCGTTGTGATGTTACAGGGACTATAGAAATTTGTCAGCTCCATTATAATCTTATGGGACCACGTAGTTTATGTGATCCGAAATTTTTTTATGTGATGCATGGCTGTATTACTGATCTTTTTGGAGCATGCTAAAACATTACTTTTTACTTAAATAAATTATTTTTAATAAGAATTCTAAAATCATAATAATTTCACTATTTGATTACTCTATAAATTTCACTATTTGATCTCTCCATAATGAAATATTCTAGAGAAATTATATTTGAAATTTCTCGTGAAATTCCCTATCTCATATTGTTAAGAGATTTAATTAGCTTTTTTCCTCCTCAAAGTCTCATCACTACTTCCCTTCAAAGATTTCAAAATTAATATTTTAAACCAACCCATCGTCCAATTCAGACTCTCAATGTAAGAAACTCTAAATATAATTTATTTCAGTTTCTCAAATGTTATTCATCGTTTACAAATCATCATTTCCCATATTCTAACTGTTCTAAGATAAAGAATAGCTTTCTGTTTAATAATATTTCTGTAATAATAAAGTTTGCTTTAAAAAATATACTACAAGGTAGGACAAACTAAGGGACTGAAGTGAATTATCACATTTAATGCTCACAACCAGAGTGAGCACATACTTGTATTGTTCTCCATATTTTCACAGTGGAAGCAGATCTTCAGTGAAGTCTAGGAATTTACCATTATTTAAACTTATCTCATGTGATTTTTACCTATGCTAAAGGACACTATATATAAAGTGCCCAACAGAGCTCCTAGCATAAAGTAAGAATTTATAAAATGTTAAACTTTAGCAATTAATATAGTAAAATGAATTAGTTGATTATCTGAATCCTCCCTTTAGAAGGAAAAGAAAATGTTTCTGGACTACACACAAATTTAAAGTCCCCACTAGTAATTATACTATGCATACTCTCTGATTTATTTCATTAAAACTTGTATATCTAAAACAAACAAATAAACAAAAACCTTATATATCTATACAGTATTCTGCTACTGCTTAATAATAAAAACATAAAAACTACACAATAAATAACTGAAATCTTAATTACTTCATTTCTTATAATGCTTCTTTACTAGTAAAGCATATTTGCTGCCAGAGGTGAAGTCAGGGAAGATAGTCTGCCTTTACATAAGTTTTCAAGAGTTTTCTAGAGTGTGCTGTCTCTTCCAAAAGACTGAGTTTTTCGAGGCCCTAAATCACAGAAGGTTCTTTCCTCATCTCCTACACTGTCATTTACTCTGCTTACGGTTGGGATAGATTTGTCTGATGTATAGGCCATCTACAACCTTCTAAAATATGAAATATTTATTCTCTTTTATGTAGATAAGTTTCCTATTTTATAGATACACAGCTAAATAGTAACTTAATCATATTACATTTTCCCCCATACCAAGAAATAGTCATACAGAAATATGTCATGAAGAACAGGTCCTTGGCAATAAATAATATTTAAAAATAATGCCAAATACAGTTTTTGAGTATGCTGAAAGTCTATCCTCTATTAATTTCATTTGGTGTTTTTACAGCCACTTTTCTAAGAAGCGTGCAACACTTGTTTCATTGTCAATGCTACTTTTTGGGCGAACTGTTATTTGGCTCTTCCTAATTGATGTGACGCAGCTTCGTGGCTCCTTCACGAGACGGGCTGCCACGCCCCTCAGGGCTCTGGGCCATGCAGCTGCCTGCTGTCTACCCGGCCAAGCGTGCCTGCCAGGACTCACAGAAATGAGTCATTGGAGCTTTCTAACTTTGGGGAAATCCCATGCCTGCTATATTTGAACATCACAGAGGCCAAGAGAACAGTAGGCCAACAGATTGGTGGAAGGCCTCTGAGGCACTGAACCCATTTAGAGAATCACTCTGTGTACTCTCCGTGAGCTCTAGGTTACGCGAGTCTACAGGGCCATTAGGCCTCTCAAAGCAGGAGACAGCTGGGCAAGGAGATAGACTGAGTGATTATCCTGATATTCAACTCTTGTTATTTCTTTTCCTGACCTTATCTGGGAGAAAGGGCATGTGTGTAGGTTGTGTGCAGAGATGTACACTCTAGAGCCCACATCGATTCCATCTATACCAGAATGGAGAAACAGTGTCATTCGGTTCACCGGTTTTCATAATGTTGGGCCACTGAATGCTCTGAAAAAGGTAGTGGAGCAGTTCTGCCTGAAGTAAAAGTGGAGGCTTCCAAAACCCATCTACTCTTCCTCCTTCATCACCTTCACGACCACCCCTGATTTAGATAAACAGACCCTAAAACCAACTTTCAATCCTACAGTTGTCTAGCAGTCTTCCATTAGCATCTGCTTGAACATGGGTCCCCACTCATCAGTATCACCTACTAGGATGCCTGTGGACTCTGTATCCACAGGACTGAGGCCAGACTTGAGAAGAGGGAGGTTCAAACTGCAGACCAGGCTACCTTTCAGTCTATAAGGACTTCTGTCCTGGCAAAGTGTTTGAGTCCCTACGAGAGCATAATGGTAAGGTTAGTGGTACAAGCCCACTGCAATGTAACTGTATAACTAACAATATTCTTGAATTCCTAGGAGAAAGGGAACCTTGCAGTTATTCCGCACATTAAGGGTATTCCAATTCTACAGGCACCACTTAGATTGGATGCGAGCATCCAAGTACAATTGGAGTCCAGAACAAAGGTTTCCCTGATCCAAACATGAATACCTACCCTTAGGGAGTAGAAAAATGGACAAGGACTATAAGTCTTCTGTCCAGCCTCATAGAACTGGCACTTGGGCTTGCTTTTCATATATGAAGGTCTTTTAAATTTTAAACTAACACATTTATTGTATGCAATTCATATTGCTAAAATACCTGGGGAAAAACTCAAATGTAAAAGCGTTCAAAATCTTCAAGCAATCTCCCAAATTACGTATTGCATTATCAAGTCTATAGAAAACGCTTTCTTTCACATAGTGTAAAGGCAATTTTTAACTCAGCCTTTACTGAAGCCTTTAACCTACTTTATTAGTAGGTTCTGATAAAATGTTTTGTTTGCACATTTTTTTTTAAATTATAGCAGTCAATAGAAGAATTCCCCTATCCAGTACAACAATTGTTTCACTGTTTCCTGGGGGGAAAAATTATGTCCACTCTTCTCCTGATACTCTCATAAATGATATCTGGTATAGAGAAGAGTATCTCATGATTTATACATTTTAAGAACAAAGTTTTTAGTGGTATGTAGTTTTCTCAATCGAATGCCAAAATAGGGTCAGAATATTTGAGAGTGCAATTCTTGGATTATTTCCTGTGTCCTTAACCTTCCAAATTCTTGGGAATCACTTAGAATTTGAGCATATGTAACTCTCAATCGCTGATGGACTCCAGCTACTTAGAAAGGAGACTGTGACCCAAATTACTGTTTATTTCTGCCCATCAGTAACTCTTTATCTTCACACGCAATTGAACTACTTCCTATAATAAGTTTTAAAGTAAAATAATGAAACTAGCTAATAATTACTGATCGTGCGCTCTGTGCTCAGCCCCGTGTTAAGCATATTTCAAGCCTGACTCATGGAATGTGCATCTTAGACTTATGAGAGAAATGCTATTCTTGGTCCTATTTTACAGACGATGAAACGAAGGTCTAGAGAAATAAGTGGCCTCTTTGGTTCTCAATCTTGAGCTTCCCAGCACCATAAAACATCATGACATCTTATAACAACTTAAATACTGCTTAGTTTTCTTTTCTATATTTTACTATTTCATTAGCTATATTAGGTATCTGGTACTTTTAAATCATTAACTATATTTTACATAGATATAAAACATAACAATACTTCTTGTAAATAAGGAAAGGAACAACAACATATTTTTTCATACCTACCTTCTGCTGACATTATATTAATTATTAAATTATGCCTTGCAGTCTCAAAGGTACGCCTATTGTAGGCAGTTATCTATTAGAAAAAGAAAATCATATTAAAGAAGTGAAATGTTATTTGGAAAATGAAATTCGTTAAGGATAAAATGAAAACAAATTGTCGTTCTTTCCATTTTCATTGTTTGTTTATATACTTACGAAATATTCCTTCTCTGGGCAATAAGAACTCAGAGCTTTTAGCAATGTTATGGGAAAATAAATAATTAGTCAGGTCTATTTAACATGCTGAAACAAAAAGTTAAAATCAGAAAGACTCTTTCACCGAAGAAGACCCCGTTAAGTGCTAATCGCAATGCAGATGCACCATTAGTAAATGGATTAACCATTATGAATTACTTTCCAGTGCCGTTCCACAACTTCAAAAAAAAACCAATATATTTTTGTACTTTTAAATGAAGCTTAAGGATTACACTGGAATGTACACTTTAAAACAAGCACATCTCTGTGTTGTTTGCATTCAGTACTAAATTGCACAAGAACCAGTCAAAAAATGTCATGAATAACCCTTTGGAAACCATATCTTGCTTACAGGACTAAAGCAGTAAGGATCATGGTCTACAAAGCTTATGGCACATGCTCAAAAACACAGATCAATCCTTTGTAGAGTCAAATATTAGTAAACATTTGCAGAGCCAATGAACTTACATCAAAGTCAACTCAGAAACAGCCACTGCAAACAACAAACAAAGCAAAGGCCAACAACAGGATAATACTTCAAAAATGAAAGAATCATTAACTTTATAACATATCAGATCATTCAGACAGGTCTGCAGTACCTTAAATAAAACAAATGATTGTGTAAAGTTTTAGCATCCCAGCATTAGCCTTCTGGCAGTGATTGCGGCTGTCGTTGACACTGAGACAAAAGGGTGGGACAAAACTGACTCGAATTGAAAAGAAATACCTTGTTCATTTAAAAATGAATATTGAAGATTTTTATAGCATCACATATGAGCTTTAAATGAAATAAGTCGCATTCATCAGAAATATTATTTGCAAAAACAGTAAAAATCAAAATTTTGGAATTAATAATTCTGAACCTTTAACAATATTTAAAAATACACGTTATGAAAAGCATGTCATTCTACCAAGTTAAAAGAACTCTCCACAATTTGTCAAATTCCTGTTGGATTTAATGACTTCCTTGCTGCTATTTGCTGAGATACGTGCTTAATTAGGTTCACATTAAACGATAAAATTAGGGCTAGTCCTTAAAAATAAACTAGGAACTATTGTTCACAAAGAAGCAAATGAAAAAATGCAAAAACAGATTTCATTTGGGAATCTTCATGATTTTAAAAGTTTATCCTGCAAAAAACTTAATCACATTCTTAATGGAAAAAAAAACTACCAATCCTCTATTTGCTATAATATCTCAAAGCTAAAGCTCAGAAAGAAATATTAAGACATTTTCAAACAAGTGGCAATACTTTTACGGCTAGCCTTCCCATACTAATCACAAATTTCATTATGGTAAATTCCATAAATTCTAATAAGTTTTTTTTTCCAATAACAGGCTACTGAAGGGAGTGAAGAACATTTCATAAATCAAGAGGAAGAATTTTATTATCTGAATTTACATTTAATATTTAATTTTAATAGCTATAACAGAATGTAGTCCTATCACTTCTAATGAGATATTTAAATACTATAATAACCTCAATCAAATTTTACTTTTCATAATGATGTAAAGATCTTCATAGCAGAGAGGTATGCATGTGCTTGCGTGCATGCTTTTTTGATCCCCTATTTCTAGAAGAGTGGCTGATCTATGTTAGATGCTTAATAAACATCTATGAAATAAATTATTCAGTGGACTTACATAATTAAATATTAGTTTAATGTATGCAGAACTCTTTTGACTGTTATTAATAGAATATTTAAAAATACTGTAAATATGTTACTAAATATGGATGTAGAAATGAGTTATTTACTACTTGTGTTAGATGAAAGATATGCTAAATTTTCCTCATTATAGTTTTAGTATATTATCTGATATATAGCCATAACATTGTATCTTAGTTATAAGAACATAATGAACTCCTGCAAATCCTTGCTCAATACATGTTATTTCTCTACTACCCTAGCCCCTAGCCTTTCTCCAACCAGAAATGGCCATTTTGAATTTTGTATTTATCATCCCATTCATTTTAAATATAGTTTTATTATCAATGCATGTATGCTTAAAATATATTGTTTAATTTGCTTGGTTTTGAGCTTTATAAAAATGGTAAACTTCTGGGACTATTTTTTATTATTACTCAACATTATGTTTAAAGCATTTAGGTTGGGCAAGCTTAAGTTCATTGTTGCTGTAAACAATCACTGTGTGACTAAAGCCACAACTTATTTACCTATCCTCTTGCTGGTGGACTTTGCATCTATTCTCTTCCTGATGGACTTTTGGGTTACCATTGCTTTGTGAGTTTCCAGTGTTTCGCTATACAAACATTGCTCAATGAGCATGACTGTACCTGCCTCTGAGTGGACATTTGCAACTTTTGGGTATGTACCAAGAAGTGGGACTGCTGGAGCATAGGGTACAGTAATACTCAGCTATGTGAACTAGTCAGTGCTATTTTCCAAAGTGGCTATGCCAATTCCCACATCCAACCACAATGAATTTTACTGAGGGTAAAATTCTCATTATGGTCTTAATTTGAATAGTCCTCATTACTGATGAGAGTAAGCTTCTTTACTTAATTAGCATTATGTCTCCTCTTTAGTGAAACATCTATTCATGTCTTTTTCTTACTGAATTGTAGGAGTCCTTTTTTATTATATTTTAGATATTCACCATCAGTCAGATATATATATTTAAAATATCTTCTTCCAGTTTGTGACTGGTCTTTTTTTAATGGCATCTTTTGAACAGGAGTTCACAAGTTTAATATAATAAAAATGTGTCAATCTTTTCTCTTAAATAAAAATATTCAGGTATTAAGAAATCCTTCCCTACCTCTAAACTTAGATATTCTTCTACATTTTCATATAATAGCTTAAAATTTTGCTTTTCACATTTAAATCCTCAATCTAGACTTGAGTTTTATATTTCCTGTGTGGTGGGAATCTAATTTTATGTTTGCCATATGGCTAATCAATCATCTGAGTACCATTCAACAAATAGACATCTTTTTCCCCAATAATCTGTGGCACCATCACTTCAGACATGTATCATTATTCCTTATGTAGATTTATGCGATTTTTTTAATGCCTTCGAGATTTCGATGTGCTGTTTCTTCTGCCTAAAACAGCCTTCCTTCTATTTTGTGAAGTGAATTCCTAATTACTCTCTAATGCCACTGCTTCAAACAACACCTTCTTATTATAAGAGTTACGTCAGTGTCGGCTAAGTATGGGCTTCCGTTCCACTGCTTCAGTCCCTCAACTCCAAGACATGGTAGGACTCATCACTTATTCATCTTCCTTTCACCAGCACCTATCATAATTCTTAGCACATGGTAGGGCTCATAAAATGTCTGCTTAATGACTGTATTTCAATGAACATAAAATTTGAAATTAAAATATAGAGCAAATAAGTTTGTATTTATTTTCTTAAACAGAATTCATATTATAGTAACCCATTTCTTTTAAATGTCTTTTATTTTTTTCACTAATTTAGACTTCCCTTTTTTATATAAAAGATGAAATTAAAAACTGTGCAGATGAACAGAAAAAAATGGTACATTTCCAAATGTTATCTAGTGTGTCTCCATGTATAAAATACTAAAAACTACTGCCATGGAATTTTTATTTCAACATTTGAAACTCGAATTGCAAAAAAACAAAAATACAATTTTGTTCACTCTGAGTAAATTACCTCAATGACTGTTGGTTTCCCCACATTTTCAGCTGTTGGAGACCCATAGAGGACGCCATCACTATATGGTGTCCTTTGGATGTATCGAAGCCATCCGGGTCGGTCTGGGTAACCCATTAAATTTGTGTTAAATGTTATGGGATCATTACTAATCTCGCCTAGATAAGAAACACAGAATTAAGATACGTCAGTTATTTTCACACATGTTGCTTTGGTAGTTTCAATCAAAATATTTCTGTCTAAAATTTTTTTCTCACATTTGTAGCAAACTAAATACATACCCAAAAAACAAATCCATCTGGGAATTCGGATTTTCTTTCGTGTAAAGAAAAAAATCTTTTTGGTTGTTTAGTTTGCCTAGAAATCTAATGCAACAAAGAAAGCAGATTCATACAACTTTGAGGGAGATTTTTTTTTCTTTCCTTCCTTTCTTCTTTTTTGGGGGAGAGGTGGGGGATGGGTCATCTAGGAGTGGGAAACTTCTACCAATGAGACAATTGTTTTTCAGAAAAATCCCCTAATACGTTGATGTGTTCATTCTCTTGAGAAGCCTTCCTGTCATGAAGCTCTGGACACTATCAAACTAATCTTAAGTGATATCTCGAAATTATAAAACTATCATTAAAACAAAGACAATGTAATTTTAAAGCAATTGAGGATGAGCTGTAAAAGATGTTACAAATCCAAAAGAACTGTAATAACAATTTATTAATGACAAGTAATAATAGCATCATTTATTAGCATGTGCCTGGCCCTGTTGTTGTGCCTGGCCTCTACAAGTACTATTTCATTGTATTTTCAACCATTCCTATAAAAGTAGTACTATTATTGCCCTAATTTTATTGCTGGAATAGCTAATTTTCCATGTTAAGTAACTTTTCTATAGTTATATTAAGTGGTAAAACTAGAATTTAATCTTGGCTGATTCCAGAAACTATGCTCTTAGCTACATGTTTTCTTCTCAAATACTGGAGCTGCTGCTCAAAAGGTTTAGCTATACAGTTTTGCAAACACAGAATGCAATGTTTAAGAAACATTTTTTAAAATAATTGATGAAAAGACTACTTTTTTTTTCTTGAATGCTGGTGATAACATGGTTAACTATATTTTGAGTGTTTTCAGGTATGCTACTCATCATTATCTACAAAAATCATATTTATATTAATTCTAATGCTATAATTTTCAGAGAATTCATTTTTATCTTTTACTTAAGAGTTATAATTTATTTTCTCTTGCTAGTCTTTCTATATCTTCATTAATTTGGTGGCATTTGTGACAACCCGACACAACATAATTTAATCCAAAGTGAATTAAAGAAGACTTTGATATTGGTATTACCTTGAAGGAAAAATTAATCTTCATTGTATTATTATGAAATTTTATAAAATTATCTCATACTATAAAAGATTTTTCAAGAACTCTTTCTTAATATCACATTTCATTCTTATACAATATATGTATAGTTTTCCAAAAATCAATGTACTATGTAAGACTGTCTTAATATGAAAAATCATAACTGTACAGCTATAATTATTTCTGTGCAAATATAGGTAGATCATTTGTCAGAAGCACAAAACTCTAGACTGAGAAACCAAAAATATTCTTTCTTTAAAATTCAAAAATGAATAATTTCCTTCTGTAATTAAATTTCTAGTCTTAAAGTGGGAAATATCCTATGACGAATTTATCAAGCATCCAGACCATATCAAATAATGTTAACAATATTTTACATATCATCTAAAATATGCACATTGAAAAAAAATTTAGTAAATTAACCACTTATTTTTTTCCCCCACCAAGAACATACCAAGTTTTGGGTAAGGTGGAAATTCTCCCTTAAAAGACTCTCTTTCCAAAACATGAACAAAGAGGACACCAGCAGATGGGTATACATCCCGATCAGAGTGCACCTTCGAGAAAATAGTGTACACTGAAAGCAAAGGAAAGATAAGAGATAGACAAATAATGAAATACGCTCTTGATAATTCACTTACTCTGTAATGAAGGGGTTCACTAGGTAGAGATTCCTGGGAAAATTGAAGCAGCATGCAAAATATTGTTAAGAAGTTTGTTTTAAAGGGAAGTGATTTTAGGACAAAACATGAAACAACTCTCTCAACTTGGTGAGTTTAGAGACTTTTCAAATACTACATAAACAAAATTAGGCACATTTAATACTTTAAATTGTTATTAAATAATGAAGAGATCCATATTTTCTTTTTTGGTAATTTCTTTTTATTGAAATTATTATGATGAATACATCATGAGAAATGAACAACTACATAATTGTTATTTTTTTCCATTTTCAGAGCAAAGTTTAAAGAGTAATTTTTAAACAGTCAGAATCTACACTGTGTTAACTGTTTGCTAGACAAAGCATATCAGAGTATATAAAACACCATCACTATATGTAAGGCAACTTTCATATACACTTATAAAAATGCACTGGATACTTTTTCTATGAGTATTATTTCTCATCACTCTCCTAGAAATGATTTATTCCATTTTATCTGATCTTGACATTTACTAATTCACACAAAATAATCTATTCTATTATGCTACATTCTAAATAATAACAATTACATAATAAAATTCAGTGCCAATAATTGCTTTAAATGAAATGGGGCAGATTTCATGATTTACTAGTTACTTAAGATATATGATGTGAGTACATTAAAATGGTTGAATTGGTTTGATTAGTTTCCACCTATTGTTTTTCCTCTGATATTATCATCTCTACCAACCCATTACTGCCATTACCCTTGTCACCTCTGCACACCTCTACAATCTCTTTTGGTTTTCTGTCTTCCTGACTGGCTAGGAGCTGCAATTTTTACACAGATAAACCCTATCAGGCCAGTTCCTTCTCTTAGTCAGTGACGGATTTGTAATTAACCTTAAGAACCCCAAAGCTGCTTACTCCAGGCTCACAACTAACTAAAAGCCCTGAATAGCAAGATCACTGACAGTAGATTTTTAAGCATAAAAATAAAAACTTCCACAAAATGTTTCTTTATCTGTGAAAACTTGTCCCTGCAGTTCTGAGGATGGCTGCCAAAAATGGAAAATTAAACTAAAATATTTGGCTTGTAGCTTCACGTATCCATAGCATTACTACTAAAAACACAACTTCGAAGGCTATTAATGGAAGGAAAGAAGCTGCAAGT